GAATTAATTCAGTCTAATTACTTCTTTTAATAATTAGTAATACATTCAAAGCAATCTGTTGTTATGTATAAAGACAAACTGAAGCTCTCCTTCCACAGATGACTCCAAAGCATCATTAAATTGAAGAGCATTTACATTTTTTAGAAACAGCTCTTCCCTTAACTACAAAAATAGGAAGCCTTACCAGTATGACAAGTTGCCATTTTGATGGTACTTTTTTTTCCCTCCTTCACATCATATTAAATAGATTTGCTTAAATAAAACCTTGAGCTTATTTGGTTTTCTTCATGAGGCAACTGCTTTTAAAGAAAATGCCTCATTCCTTTACAAAGACAGAGCTTCCTTGATCCCTGTCTGAGGGGGGAATATAATGACTGACTTAAAGTTCTTGAATGGGTGTAGTGCACATGTTCCTTTGGAGCCAGGGAAAAATCAGTATTGAATTTGTGAATATTGCCAAAGCACATGAATATTCATGAGGTTGCTCAGTTGTTTTGGTTTGGGTTTGTTTATTTGGGGGGAGGTGTGTTTCTTTTTTCCTCTGTGGGAAAGTAATTGATAAAGCAAGATATTCTCCCCTTTCATGAACTTCTGGGTACTAGATGATCTTACATACAGGGGGCTTTTTCCAGCTTTAGTGAATGAAAGGGTGAGGGTTTAAAATGGTGTTTTCTTTGTTCCTTTTCCTCTCTGATGCTTTTAAATTAAATGGAGTGTCATTCAGCACATAGGAGAAAATTCTGCTTATGGGTTGGTGCTTATGGCTTCCATAGCCAGGAGTGCAGCTGGTGGTCATCAGCCGAGGAATCCCCTGAAAGCTGACTTTGCAAACACTTCTTTTCAGGTTGAGATGGTCATTGGAGCTTCAGAGCTCTTCCTTGGAGGTTTGAAGTAAGGCTCTGTGTGGGCTCCACTGGGTGCTGTGGGTGAGATTTTGGGTGAATGCAGCATGGCAGCCGTGGCTTCCTGGCACTTGGAACTTGCAGTGTTTCACTGCTGTTGGAGGAAGGAGTCCTGGTGGTGTGTCTGGTCTCTGTGGTGCTTCTGTGGACCACAGGAGTTCCTGTTGGCCTGTTCTTCAAATGGGGCAGCTCTGCTTTGGTCAGTCCTGTGTCCACAGGTGCAGATTGGTAGGAAGCTGCAACATCACGGCTGTGGAGCTCCCCAGTGAATGCCAATTTGTCTTGCCTTTGTCACTGGGGCCAGGTTTGTAGTCAGTCTTGCTTGTGAGCAGTGAAGGCTTTGTGCATTCCCTGCAGAAACAGCCTCCTGGCCCCACTGGTTTGTTAGAGGGGGAAAAGAGGATGTGTGACCAAGTCCTTCTATCAAATAAATCAAAATTACTTGGTAGTTCTGATGTCTTCCTTTTCCTTTGAACACTTGCAACCTCTTCTAAAGCCTCATTTCAGGAAAATGAAAGTCACAGGTCTTCTTTCATACATCCTGGCCACAAATGAGCTCCTTTTTCAGAGTAACATAGAGCAGCTCAGGGACACAACTTTTCTGGTCAGGTATCGCAGGGTAAAGCCAATGCCTGTCTCTTCTGATATGCTAAGCTCCACCTCTGTCTTTTCTCTTTCTTCAGATTTAAACTCACATTCCTTTGCTTGTTCATTGTAGAGCAAAGTTGTATTTAAGGGGTAGCATTGATCCAAGTGCTCATGCTGTTGAACACATGGAACTTCAAGTTTGTTGAGTATTTATCCAACTGATCAAAGAACTGTTTTTTGTGAACTGTGACTCAACAGTGATGAGATTTAAGATTGACATTTTAAATTGCTGTTACTAAGATGAATGAAGATTCATGATTCAGCCAGAGCTTTCTCAAGCTTTCTCAAGAATCTTGCAATTTTGGCTTGCATCTTGTGGCTAATAGGTGATGTGTGGGTCTCACAGTTAGCATTAATCTGTACATTAAAGGAGGAAAGTACAGCATAGGAGCAAGCAAATGCAAGTGCTGTGGCCAGCTGCAATTTGAACAGCCCTTTGAAATTATTTACTAATCTGTCTGTTTCAGAAGCAGGTGATTTACTATTCAAGGATCGTGTCCTCCTCCAGCTGGCAGCCTCTGCCTCTCGCGGTGCGGAGTGCTGAGCTGAATTGATGGCCCAGGCTCCGCAGGGATGGCCGTGCAGGAGCAGGATAGATGATCCCTGAGCCTGCCCCTCTCCTCCAGCCTTGCACCGAGGCAGAAGGAGCCCAGTTGCCACTGAGGGAGGTACAGCCATGCCTGCCATGGCCCTTCCTTGGGGCAGGGCTCAGGAGGAAGCGTGGTGCCAGCTGAGTCAGTGCCGCTTCCTGCAGCACCTGTTCTTATCGGCTGCTGGGAAGAGATTATTAGCTAGGGTTTGCCCTGCTTCACTGGCAACTCTGAATCACTGCTTGGAGGGTAATGTGGCTCTAGATGGTTTTCTGGATTAAGAATCACATTTTAATTGCCTTCTCTGTTAAAGGGGAATTCATGTTTGCTCTGCCAGGATGTGTGATAAGCCTGCATCCCATTACAGTGGTTCAGTTTCATTTTCTAGCGTGTTTCCCTTATTTAAAGCAAATAGAGCTCTTCAGTTCCTGAGAAACAGTGAGTCATGCATTTTGATACTATAAAATGTGACACCTGCAAAACTCTGTTTTCTCACAGCATGGTTGGAAATGTTATCAGGTCTAGGATCAAAGCTGTGCTTCAACAGAGGCCCGATCACATGAGGCTTTATTGGGATTTGCAGAGATGTTTTGTCACCAGTCTGCTATGTAGGTGTTTGAGTACTCCACACTTACCCCCTTTTGTGGTACCCTTGATTAGACCATAGCATGCAAATATAAATGCACAGATGAGATACAAAGCTTCTTTTTTTTAAAAAAAAATAAATAAAATCACCATTTTTTGCAAGTTCAGCTGTAGTACTAATGAATATTGTCATGTTTAAACTGGGGCTAGACTTTGGTCTTGAATTTGAGACAGTAATCCATGTTTCTAATAATTTATGAGCATATTTTGTATCTATTTAAACAGTTATATTATGTAGTTATATATCTGTCTCAAAGGAAAGGTGCAAAGGTTTTCCTAAATTGTTGATGTTGTTTTTGTGTTGTGGTTTTTTTTTTTTTTTTGAGGTTTGCAGATCTCACTCATGCAAACTTTTTAACATTTCTCTTTCAAAATAAAGAATTTACCCTTCTCTAATAGAGAGGTGAGACAAGTAAGGAGACATGTTAGCCATGCTGAAATGTTATAAATCTTAATACCTTCAGAACTGCATTGGAACTACATCCTCAGGAAATTTCCTTTTAATGGAAGTGCTTGGATCATTATTCTTGCATTGTAAATCTGTGTGTTTTCAGCCAGAAGCAAAGCTTGCAGTTCTTTTCTCTGATTCAATAGACCTTTGGCTGACTCCACATCCCAAAGATGCATTTCTTACTGCAACATATTTTAGGCTTGGCAGGAAACAGGATTGCAGTAGATTCCCTCTGCACCAAACTTGTGCTTTGTCAACAGGGAATCCTGCCCTCATTCAGAGAAGCTCGTGTGCCTTAGTGAGAGGTACATTTCTGACTCCTTGCCTTGTGCTAAACTCTCATCTGTCACAGCCTTTTTGTTCTTCTGTTCACCTAAACTCCTCTTCTTATCAATCACTGAAACTGCAACATCTCATGCTAATGGAAATCCTTGATTATTTTTTTTTTGTCATTATTTTTAAGCAACATAAAAAGAGGATGCTGCTCAATCTGCTTGTCCAGTGAATGCTTTTATATTTGTTGTGCTTGTCTTAGCCAAGCCATCATTCTTCCCTGTCTGTGTTCTCCTACAGCATTCCTGCAGTCATGATTTCAGGTCTCTTGGTGGGAGTTACAGGATCTGCTGGCTGTAAGCAAGTGGGGCATTGAGGTTCCTCTGGGAAATCACAGCTCTGCTTTGTCTGTCAGACCTTGTAGCTGTGCAGGTGTCTGTCTGGGTTATCCACTGCCTGGGGCTTTGGGAATTCCTTCAGTTAAACCCATAAATAAGGAGTGTTGTCATGCCCATACTTGAAAGCCAAACAGCAAAAGAACTGCTTTAGGAATTCTGGTGGGGTGCAAGGACACAGACATGTCTGTGCTGTCCAGACATAAATTTGTCTCTTTTTTAAACAGTATAAATAGAAGATTTAAGGATTTTTGGTAAATTCAGCAGCTGTTACAAGTTGATTTTTAATTTTTAGGTAATTTCTGAGAGTTGCAGATCTCAAAACTGACTAGTTTTGTTGGTTGTAGTTTAATAATTGCAAAATGTAATTGATAAATTGAGTAATGTAACTTAGTCACAGTCTAAAGCATCTTAAACTATTATATTAAATTTGCTGGTTTGGAACAAATACCCTACTTGTTACTGACAGTCTGGTAAGTCGTGGCTTTGGTAGTATAGTTCATGTTTGCTGCCTGGGTTGTGGTGGCTTACTATTGTTCTTTGTAAGAATAAGTGAAAATTTAAAACAGAATGTGCAGAAACAAACTCTTGCATGGTGTGTCTTGATGTATCCCCTCATTTCAGACTGACTACCTTGGCAAAGGGCAACTGCAGGAAAAGTGTGAAGCCAGCCTGTGGTCTGAGAAGGTTTTGCCAAAATAGATGGCATTGGGGAGAAAAAAAAATGACCCCTAACTTCTAATTTAATTTAACAGTAAATTTAACATTTAATTTAACAGTAAGAATCAAACAAAAATACTAATTTGTATTTGACCTACCCGTTCTGGAAGGGATTTGTGCAAATTCATCTTCAGAGGCAGGCTCAGCTGATCAGGTGCTGTGTGTAAATCACACAGCAGCAAACAGGTAATTCCTGCTGCCTCATGTTCCAAGTTAATTGTTTGTAAATACAAACATGAGTACAGCTGAGGAAATGGAGCTGGATAATCCTAATCTTGGAAACATGTCCATGGACTGTTGAATGCCTTGAAAATTTAGGTGTGTGATGTCTGTGAGATTTTGAAATGCTGAACATGTCGCTTGTTTCTGTTTTCAGCACCTCATCCCGTGTTGCTAAAGGAATAGACTACACCAAAATGAGCCTCCATGGTGCGAGTGGTGGACACGAGAGATCGAGGGACAGGCGCAGGTCCAGTGACAGATCTCGTGACTCGTCCCACGAAAGAGCAGAGTCTCAGCTCACTCCGTGCATCAGGAATGTCACTTCACCCACAAGGCAGTATCATTCTGGTGTGTGCAGATCTCTGCCATTTCAGGATTAAAATTCCCTAAATCTGAGTACTGTTTTGGCAAAGGAATACAATAAAAAGGGTTATTAGTAGAGGGCATAAGGTACAGATTTCTTACGTGTGTCCTGGTCTGGGTATTCCCTTCTTTGAGGGGCTGTAGCTCTTTTTTCAGTCTGCAGCGTGTTTTCCTGCATGATGCTCTTTATTTAGTTCAATCACAAGAACAATCTAATTTTTCTAAGGCAATGGACTGAACACTTCCTCTTTACTGTGTAGGGTCTAGGTATTTGGAAATAGAGGAAATAGGGATTTTTTTAAGTGGCAAATCATGGTTTGTTCCTTTGAACTATAGCACCAACTGTGATGCAATAGCTTCTGTATTATGTTGAGTTCCTTTTTCAGTACTAGAGCAGTAAGTTTTCTTTGTAAAGCCTTTTGGGGAAGGTGAGGTGGGTTTGATGTCTAGGTGATGCAAACTTCAGACTCTCATAAATGAGAAGTTATTTTTGAAGGTGTCTTTACCCAGAATAGATTTAACCAAAACAATTTGTACTTAACTTCTGAAATTGATGTGTTTTGTGCCTGGAAAGGCACAAACCATTCAGAACTCCCGTAAATCTTTAATTTCATTTCCTGTTTTTGCTCCTTGCACCTCGTTGCCACTAAAGATCGGGAGAAGGATCACAGTTCGTCTCGGCCCAGCAGCCCCCGGCCCCAGAAGACATCCCCCAATGGTTCAGTTGTCAGCATGGGCACCAGCAGCAGGAACAGCAGCCAGTCCAGCTCAGATGGCAGCTGCAAGGCTGGTGGGGAAATGGTGTTTGTGTATGAAAATGGCAAAGAGGGAGCTCGGAACGTCAGAACTTCCGAGCGAGTAACGCTCATCGTGGACAACACCAGATTTGTTGTAGATCCTTCCATCTTCACTGCACAACCTAACACCATGTTGGGCAGGTTTGTATCTTTTGTTTTGGGTTTTGGTTTTTTCCCTTAGTCCCCAGCTGTTACAGAGAAGCATGAGTCCTTTGTGGATATTTAACTGTTTAAATAGCTCTTGGACTCATATTGCTGCAGCTGGTCTTGCTCTTGTTTAATATTACCAATTTTCAAATGTCTTTAAGTAAAAATCAAATGCAAGTTCTCTGGTTTTGGCAGGGAAGCCAAGAGATGTCTATTACCTAGAGATGACAGCTGATAAATAAATTACCATTTCATGATGTTCCCATTTCTTTCTGCCTTCCTGGGCATTGCTTCTGTGTTCAGTCTGCCTCGTTCTTCCTCATTTTTAAAGCTTCATAAAACAAAAGCTTCATAAAGTTTCATAAAACAAAGTGGCACACTGAGTGTAGACAGTCTCTTTCAAAACAGCAAGCAGGAAAATCTTGGAGGAATTTATTTTGCTTAGTGGGCCTACCCTGACAATGTTCAAGCTCATCCCATTTATCTTCTGAAATGTCAGATAATCAGTATAACAGCCCTGAGCCGCTCAGCAGAGAGGCTGAATGCTCAAAATGATCAACACTTGAATGCAAGTCCACAATATGAGTGTAATGTTCTCTGTAGAAACTACCATGAGCACCATATTTAACATGTTTGCATGGTGGGAAAAGATTCAATACTTGCCTTGCTGCAGCCAGTTCTGGTTGGTTTTGCCTTGTCCAAATACAGAGGGCACCACCTAAAACCTTGCATCAATAAAAGGAGAGAAAGGTGTGTCTGTGTTGCTTTGGATTTGGCTTTTTCATTAAAATACAGCTATTTCTCAGCACACAAGGATATAATCATATTCAAAATACATGTATAGAAATCTCTTTGCCACTGTACAGGTAATAAATGTGATTAAACAATTTCTGCTCTGTTTAAATCACCGCAGTGTGGGATAAATAGTACCTTGGATTCCCGTTTTGTGAAAAGTTGGGTGAGTCACAGGGAAGGCAAGAAATACTTCTCTGTCTAAACTGTCAAAGGAAATAAATGGAAGTAAGAACCAACAGAATTAAATAATTGATTTAAAGCACTTGGATACTATACAATACATGCGTGCATGTAAATATCCAGACAGACTGGAAGTGTATCAGCTGAGATAAAGCCTAGGAAATAGTTTCCTTTTCCATGCCCAGCCTCAGAGTAAGTGGTGCTGCCTAATGCACTGGGTTTTTTGTGCATGTATGACGCTGAGTTATTCTCCCTTCGGGATTGGTTCAAGGAACAAGCTTATTTTATCTTCTGCTAATTGAAAAGTAGGTTAATAAAGATACGGAAATACTGCTCTAACACGCAGGTTATTTATAAAGCCACTTTCCCTCAATGTCAGTCTGCAGGGCACTAAGCAGGGACAGCTTGGGAGGTAAAAGTAACTATAATAAGAATGTATTATTTGCCTTAAGCCTGTATCCTGTTAGACTACCTTTTTCTAAATATTGTTTCTTGAAGAGTGGTCAGAAAAGACACGTCAGGTGGTGAAGTGAAAATCGTGATTCCAGCTGAACAGAGTGCCCTGCTTTCTCCCTGCAGTTTCCATGCAATTCCTGGCATTCTATTTTTCTTACTTACAAACAAGAAAACCACAGTAAGGGATTCTAACCCAAATTACTTTCATTCTTGAGCAGGATGTTTGGATCAGGCAGAGAACACAACTTTACACGGCCCAATGAAAAAGGAGAGTATGAAGTTGCTGAAGGAATTGGTTCCACTGTGTTTCGTGCTATTCTGGTGAGTTTTCAGGGGCAAATGCTGTTAGGACAAGCACTGTTAAGAAGTGAAACTCTTGGTTTGACCCAGCTTGCATATTCAGATTTTGTGGATGGCATAGATACTGCTCTTTATATTGTTTGATAGAGGGGGGATCCCCCTTTTCCTAGACATGAACACGTGAAGCTGGGGAGAGAGAAAGTACACATGAAAGAAATCAAAAATTACTGCTGCCAGCAATCAGTTCACCTTCTCCTGTGCATTTAGTTCACCAAACTCAGGTATATTCTGTCCTTCTAGAGCTGAAATCAGGTGAAACAGAATACTGAGAGTGAACTTCCCACAGCTAAGAGGAGTAAAGCCAACTTCAGTCTGAGATGGAAATGGCCCCTTATTTAATATCCATACAAGAAAGTAGAGCTGCTGGACTGCTTTGTCAGCAGCCTTGGAATGGGAAGAGCTCAGTGAAGTCCAGATAAAAGACAGCAAAATCATTAGTATGAATAGTTGTCACTTAAATAACAATTTTAACCAGAACCAGCTGCTCTGAATGCAGCTCTGAAAACTGATAAAGCTGAGGACAGGAAGATTCACAAAGTTTAACATTTGTCTTACATTTTGGGGACTTTCTTTGTGGAGAGGGTGTGATGAATGAAATGATGAAGTGTTTCTGTTGGTGGGTGTTGTGCATTGTGTTATTTCTCGGTGCATCCTGCAGGATTACTACAAGACTGGGGTGATACGCTGTCCTGATGGGATATCTATTCCTGAGCTGAGAGAAGCGTGTGACTATCTCTGTATCTCCTTTGAATATAGTACCATAAAATGCAGAGATCTGAGTAAGTACAGAGCTTATTGAAATAATTTGAATTATACAAATCGACTTCAGTGTGTGTGTGTTAATTCCAAGTCATGTCCTTTATTGAGATAAAGAAGATGGCTGGCACTACATGAATAAAATCCATCCCTTTTTATCTCTTATGTAATAAAGCCCTAAAACCAATGGCTTTATGTTCTTTGCAAAATAATGTCTGATATTTCAGCATCTGATTGTGTGCTGCGGCCACCCTGTGGAACACTTAGCTGTGTGATTGCATTTGCAGTACAGATACAGCAGCATTCAGTGGTAGCTGATTTTGTAGAGGACAGGGAGGATAATTTTTTCAGCTCCTCACTTAGGAGAATGAAGCTGTGTCCCTGGTGGCAGCAGCACGGCTTTGCTGGTGGAGTGGGCAGCTCCAGGCTTCCCAGCATGTGCTGTTCTCTCCTGCTCCTTCACCCCTGAGCACAGCCCAAGCCTTGGCCTGTGCCTCTGGTGCTGTGCTCTCCCTGTGTGTGCAGTGGGATTATTCCCATGGCATTCCTGCTGGGAACGCTGTGCAGGACACCTGGGCCTTCCCCAGCAGGGCCACAGCCCGAGCTCCCTGTCCTTACAGGGATTTAGCAGCTCCTGCCATGAGGGCTTTGAGAAGCTTTGGTTTTAAGCTGCTGCTTATGAAACGTGGGTTGTGTGCTCTGCTCTCCCAGAAACTGGCTCAAATGGTGTTTCTTTTAGGAAAAGCAAGAGCAGCCTTGCACAGTTACTGAGTGTTTAGTGGTAGTAAAGTGCAGAGGAGCTCTCAAAGTCACTCCCCTGTCTGCCCAACACTATGTTCACATCTGCAGGACAGGCTGGTGGATACTCAAATGAGGTCTGAACTTACATAAGCTCATAGACTAAGTGTCTTTACACCTGTCTGCATTAATACTTCAAGATAAACACATCTACTCTTTCTTATTGCTGCTTTCTTCTCTTTACCAAGCTCTCAAATGTGCTCTCAAATGCTTAAAATTTTCTTCTAGGTGCTCTGATGCATGAATTGTCAAACGATGGTGCTCGCAAGCAATTTGAGTTTTACCTGGAAGAAATGATTCTGCCATTAATGGTAGCCAGTGCCCAAAGTGGGGAGAGGGAGTGCCACATCGTTGTGCTGACAGATGATGATGTTGTTGACTGGGATGAAGAGTATCCCCCCCAGATGGGAGAGGAGTATTCACAAAGTGAGTTTATCCTCATTGTTCCCACCAAGCCACGCCGTGGTAGAGGTGGCAGTGCATGTGCCGATTTAAAGTTGTTGTACTGAAATACAACAGAAAAAAATGTTGTACAGAAACCTCTCACTTTGGGTAGCTCTGCTTAGTATTTTGTTTCACAGAAGCAAATGCTGCTTGTTATGTTCAAATGTAATTAGAAAGAGAAGCTAATTTTTATTATTAAGGTATTGTCAGCCAGTGAGGGGGAAGAAAATACTTCCTCAGAAAGAGCTTGAGGACAGAAATGGGTAGGAGTCATGTTTACTGTGGGAGAACAACTAGAGGTTTTTTTGAGGAAAAAAAAACAAGTGTTACTATTTTTGGAGTATTACAGTTGTGTGGATGATGAGTTCAAGCACCTGTAAATGGACTGCACAAGATGTGCACCCAACCCATTCCCCTGTATCTTCAGCTGTTTTTCTCTGCAGTTCTCCAGTTTCTCCCTCTCTTCTGAAATCGAAATACTGGACTAAAGCAAAACAATGGAAAAGATAAACTTTCTTAGGCTAATAGGTTAATATTTGAATACTGGGATTTTTTTTCTCATTAAAATGTATTTTTAGTTATTTACAGCACAAAGTTGTACAGATTCTTCAAATACATTGAAAACAGAGACGTGGCCAAATCAGTTCTGAAGGAAAGGGGGCTCAAGAAGATCCGACTGGGCATCGAAGGTAAGGGAAGCATGGCTTGTACTCTCCCTCCTTGGCCTTCAGGGTCTGCTGCACTTCTCTGCTTTATGGTTTTCTCTGTAGCTGGAGAGCCAAGGGGTTGGTGTTGTCTTTCCTGCTGAGGCTGGGTGACATTCCCGAGGGGAAATGGTACCCAGCAAGCAACAGGCCCAGCTAGAAAACCTGATTATGGGCTCCAGGCTGGTGTCCAAGCTGTGTCTGGCTGCTGGGCTCTCTGCAGACAGGTGCTTTTTTTCTGCTGCCTTCATGACTTGCATCTCATGCCCTTTACCCTTTAGTTTGCACACAAAATCTTCCCTGGGCTTTGTTTGAAGTAACAACGCGTTTGTACAGCTTTAGGATATTGTGTTCTTGGGCCGGTGTCCTTTCCAGGGTGTGAAATGAAAAATGTCCTGTTAAGTGGCAGGCAAACATTGTCTTTCAGGAAGTACAAAACTATCCAGTGGATGAGTGAAGTGCAAAGAAATACTGATCTAGTTAAACATCATGTAAGTTAGGAGGCTGCTCTGTAAAATCTCACTGAGTAATCCGATTTTTATCATGAATGTAAGAACCGGGTTTCTTTGCATTACATTTTTCTTTTGATTGTTGACCCAGATATTTTAGAATCCAGCCTTTATAATTAGCAGGATTTCTATCATTCACTCACCAAGTTGTCATAGTTACGTTTGTAATTTGCCAAGAAAAAGCAAATGCTTTTAACTCTAAAATAACTAATTTCAGCTGAACAAGGTGGGAGTCTTTTAGCTAAACAAGAACTATCCCTGCCTTTAATGCTGGCTAATAGCAGATTATTTCTGCTGGCGTTTCTTGGTCTGACAGGGAACAGCTGTGGCAGCGAGCTGTGCTGCTGGTGCCCTGGAGGAATGTGTAAAATGGACATTATTGTTGGGCACAGGGGAGAGGTGACTTCAACACAGGGGAACCACCTGCGCTGGCAGTGCCAGGGGGGCTGTGCTGTGTCCTGCAGGGCTTTCTGGGGCTGGGCTTTCTGGGGCTGGGCTTTCTGGGGCTGGGCTTTCTGGGGCTGGGCTTTCTGGGGCTGGGCTTTCTGGGGCTGGGCTTTCTAGGGCTGGGATCTGCGGGGCTGGGCTTTCTAGGGCTGGGCTCTGTATAGTCAGTGCTGATGGGGCTGTGCTCTGTAGGGCTGTGTATGCCCTGTGGGGCTGTGTGTGCTCTGTAGGGCTGTGTGTTCCCTGTAGGGCTGTGTGTGCTCTGATGGGGCTGTGCTCTGCAGTCAGGGCTGATGGGCTGTGCTCTTTAGGGCAGGGCTGATGGGGCTGTGCTCTGCAGTCAGGGCTGATGGGCTGTGCTCTGTGCTCTGTGCTCTGTGCTGACGGGGCTGTGCTCCTGCCCTGGCCAGGTTACCCCACGTACAAGGAGAAGGTGAAGAAGCGGCCGGGCGGGAGGCCGGAGGTGATCTATAACTACGTGCAGCGGCCTTTCATCCGCATGTCCTGGGAGAAGGAGGAGGGCAAGAGCCGGCACGTCGACTTCCAGTGCGTCAAGAGCAAATCCATCACCAACCTGGCGGCGGCGGCCGCCGACATCCCGCAGGACCAGCTGGTGGTGCTGCACCCCACGCCGCAGGTGGACGAGCTGGACAT